TGCATCACACAAAGAGGACATGGACTGCAGCCCAGCAGATCTCACCCTAGGCGAGCTACTTCGCCTACCCAGGGACTTTTCACTTACTCCTGCTGCCCGTCACGACCTACTGCAAACACTACGACAAGCAGTTTCTGTATTCAAAGCTATTGCCCCACGCCAGCCTTCCCGTCGCCTTAAACACATCCTCCTGCTACTCGACGCCGAGTATATCTTCATCAGGCGCGCAACCCACTTCAACGCCCCTACGACAGACCCTTCCCGGTTTTTGCATGGTCAGCGAAGTTCTTGGGATAATCCGCAATGGCAGACACAACACTGTCAGCATAGATCGAGTGAAGCCGGCCACCTTACCCGATGGGCCCCCAGCTATCTGATATAATATTTTTTACTGGCTATTTCTTTGCTTTCTCTTTAACTATGATTCCTGGGAGTTGAAACAGAATTTATTAAGAGTTTTAGCCGGGCAAGGCGAGGCAGGGAGCCGGGCGGGGCAAGGCGAGGCGAGGCGAGGCGAGGCAGGGAGCCGGGTGGGGCAAGGCGAGGCAGGGAGCCGGTTGGGGCCGGGCGAGGCAAGGCAGGGGGCGGGAGGAGGCAAGGGGGAGCCGGGCAAGGCAGGGGGGCTGGCTGGGCGAGGCAGGGAGCTGAGCGAGGCGAGGGAGCCGGGCAGGGCAGGGGCTGAGTGGGCGGGGCAGGAGCCAGGCGGGGCAGGGCAGGGGCGGGCAGGCAGGGAGCGGGTGGGGCAGGGCAGGGCGGGCGGGCGCCAGGGAGCGGCTGAAGGGAGACGTTTCAGAACGTCGAGGCTGAAGTGTTTCAGAATACAGTATATAATAAATTCAGTAACATTGAGGGTTCCTGGTAAATTTTTAAAATGGACAACCATGGATTTTACCATCGGAAAAACACATTGCTCAACAACCAAAGAGCACCAAAACTAACCTAACCTAACCTAACAACGTAAGCTTGTAGTGGATTTCTCCCCTACAAACGCTGTTTGTCGCTGAGTAGTCGATCCCGCGAATTCCCCAGTGTATGCCTCGTGGTCTAGGTCAACCAGCGCCGCTTTACATGAAGGAGGTCAACTATTAAGCCACGCCTACCCCCACTATTTAAGACCTGACCTCGTGGTGACCTCTCTCTTCTTCTAGCTACAGCCGCAGCAAGCTACACCACCTCCTCCGCCGCTGCCTGGCGGCCCTCGCTCCCGCCGGCAAGCATGGCGACCCACAAGCTGTCCTCCTCTGAGCATCCTCACCAACCAGCTCTCTCTACTCAACGCTTGTAACCACTCTGCCACTTCCCAGCACCAAGCTGCATTGTACATCCAATACAACATGTATACAGAGAGCACATTGTGAGTTTCCTTTCTCCATCCCATCCTGTTGAGAGAATCCAAACATCCCGTACCCCACAAGCTAACCTAGAAGTTCGTTGGTTGTCCACTTGTAAAAAAAAAAACGGTTCCTAAAATAAATGTTAGACACCGTTAAAATGTATTGGTAAATAAGGCAGCAACCATCTAATTAACCTCTGGAAAATGTTAGTGTTTGGCTCACCAGATGATTCATCCCCAGGGGTTGTGTTGGAGTGATGGAAGGAATTACAGTGTTGTGTAGGAGTGAGGGAAGGACTTGTAGTGTGTTGTATGAGTGAGGGAAGGACTTGTAGTGTGGTGTAGGAGTGAGGGAAGGACTTGCAGGGTTGTATAGGAGTGAGGGAAGGACTTCCAGGGTTGTGGAGAAGTGAAGGAAGGACTTGCAGGGTTGTGTAGGGTGAGGGGAGTGGTGGGTTGGAAGGACATGGAGGGTTGTGTAGGAGTGAGGGAAGGACTTGCAGGGGTTGTGTGAGTGAGGAAGGACTTGCATGGTGTGTAGGCGTGGGAAGGACTTGGGTTGTGTAGGGTGGGGAGACTTGCAGGGTTGTGTAGGAGTTAAGGAAGGACTAGCAGGGTTGTGTAGGAGTTAAGGAAGGATATGCAGGGTTGGGAAAGAAGGGTGAAACCATAACTTGTCCTTCCATCACTCATGCACAACACTGCAAGTCCTTTCCTCACTCCTACACTACAAGTCCTTCCCTCACTCATACACCACACTACAAGTCCTTCCCTCACTCCCCACAACCTGTTGCCACCACAAGTCCTTCCCCACACACCTACAAGTCCTTCCCCACCCCCTACACCACACCCATGTCCTTCCCCACTCATAATAACACACTACAAGTCCTTCCCCACATTCCACACCATAAGTCCTTTCTCTCACCCGTATATTAACACACTTTGCCAAGTCCTTCCCCACCCTACAAGTCCTTCTCAAGTCCTTTCCCCTCACACACTCATGTCCTTCCATCACTCCAACATGTCCTCCCAAAGTCTTTCCCTCACTCCTTGACACAATCCTGCAAGTCCCTCCCTCACCTACACAACCCCTGCATGTCCTTCCTAACTCCTAGCACATCCCTGCAAGTCCTCTTCAATGGTATTTACATTAACCCTATATGTCCCCCACTCCTAAGGCCAACCCCTGCAAGTTCTTCTCTCTCTCCCATTGAACCCTGTGTCTCCCACACTCCATACAACCACCACAAGTCCTTCCCTTTCACCCTAATAGGAACATACCAAGTCCTTCCCCACCCCACACAAACATGTTCAAGTCCTTCCCTACTCCCACACAACATACCAAGTCCTTCCCTCACTCCCTAACACAGCACCAAGTCTATATCGCCTACCCTACACAGCACTAAAGTCCCTTCCCAATTCCCAACAATACTATAAGTCCATCCTAATTCACACAATACCAAGTCCTTCCCCACAATAACATACCATGTCCATCCTCACTCCCCGTGATAACATATCAAGTCCATCCTCACTCCCACACAAGACATCCAAGTCCTTCCCCTGATACCAAGTCCTTCCCCAAGTCCTTCCCTCACCCTACACAAGTCCTTCCCTCACCTTTGCCACAACATACCAAGTCCATCCCCACTCCCACACACCAAGTCCTCTCACCCCACACAGTCACTACAAGTCCATCCCTCACCCTACACAACATACCAAGTCCTTCCCTCACTCCTACACAACATACCAAGTCCGTCCTCACTCCCACATAACATATCAAGTCCATCCCCACTCCCACCAACATCCAAGTCCTTCCC